TTGCACTCGACAATTTAAGGACCAACAGTATGGTTACCGCTTGACGACAAGGGTTAATACAGTGATAAAAGCAACTATGCAATCCATTTCAGTACTGTATGATTGTTGATAAGCGCAAAGCACAATGGGCTATATGTGCTGTGCCCATTGCGAGCATCAAACTCGGTTTTCAGCGGTGTGAGTCCTCAGACTTGCCGCTGAGCCATATAAGGTCTCCAGTTCAGTACGGATATCAGTAGCTTTAACATCTTTCAGTTTCAACTGCCTCACTGGCACTGTTAGCTTTGAGTTTGACATTTGAGCAGTTTAATCGAAAATAGTCCAAACATGGTTTCTAATTATATCCGAGAGTATTTTTACCAGGTACGAGTGATGTTCTGATTGCACCTTGCACATGCGTCCAACCACTGATAGAGGACGCTACTCTCGTATAGAGATATGAGTTTTATTGGTTCATCAACAATCTAGTTAATTAATATGTACACATCTATGTACTGAAATGACATAAAAGCATTGATAAATTTGTTGTAATCTATAGGCTGCAATGAAGAATACACTGTTTGGCTAGACTCTTGCATAGTGTTGGTGATAGTTTGGCAAAAAGCTCTAAAACCGTGGGTGGGGTTAAAAACATTACCTAATTATGGTTGGAGACGGCTCCAACCATTATTAGTCTCAAAGTGAGTTCCTCGTCATCGAAGTATTTATACATATGTGTGTGTTGCAAAAAAAAAAAAAGCAGTGTCAGGGCATTTGTTTGTTTATTGTTTTTAAGCACAAAACTACACAATGATCTGCCAGTGGTGTACTTATACGTTGGGCTACTGGCAGGAGGGCATTTATTAATTTAAGGATTATTTATATTTTTTAATTATTAAACTTTTAAAATGTTTCTTTTGTTAAAGCAACAAAAAATTCGTCCTCTAAGCTGATAAAAGCAACTTTATTGTTGTTACGGATGAATGTGGCTATATGAATTATGTTTTGGAAATGATCCTTATTCTTCAAGATAGTGTTAAACTTTTTTAAATGTAAAAATAATTTAAACAAAAGTTTCCAGTGTCAGTTAAACAACTTGGTTAACAAACTATTTCAAAACAATAAAATTACTAAAAAATTACAAGAGTTTCTTAGATGTAATAATGGTTGTACATTTCAACTTTGCTTGCGAAGGGCCTGATGGTTAGGGCGCCCGACTCGCAATCTGCAGGTCGGGGGTTCGAATCTCCGTCACCGAAAATGCTAGTTCTTTCACCATGTGACGGTCAATCCTATTATTCGTTGGTGAAAGAATAATCCAAGAGTTGACAGTGGGTAGTGTTGACTAGCTGCATTTCCACTACTCTACCTAGCCTCCAAATAGCTGTATGTGAAATCAAACCAAACCAATTGCTTGGGAATCAAAAAACGCTTCTTTCACATTTTAAAATACTTGTTTGTTTCAGAATTTCGCATAAAACTCTACAGGAGCTCTCTGTACATAGTCGTTCCTATTTTCAACTGATAAACAAGAGGGGAAGGTTGCTAATCAACAGCACCCACAACCAGTTCTTGGGCAACTCTTTTTGATCGATTAGACCACCAGTCTTAGAGATAAACGACAGCTATAACGTGCAGAGCGCGTTTTGGGGGCAATAGGGATCGCTTAATGGAACCTTGAATTTACACTCCGGACACGCTAACAACTATGCTTGCTCAGTCTGTTTTTTCCCCTTCTTCCGCTATGTTTTTCTGAATTGATAGTAAATTCACAAACAACGATTTTTCTTTATGTAGAGAATATACTACATGTTCTAAATAAGATACACACAAAATATTATGCTCGTAAATGGTTCATGGTCAATGTACGATTGTATTTGCATATTTTTCCGTACACAGGTTTTCGAATCGATGTTTAAAACATTCTAGTCTCTACCGTTATTGTACATATGATAATAATTTACTGTTGATTATGTACTTTCGTGTAGTATATGTAATACTAATGTCAACACATACATTCCTGTCTTTGTATGAAACACCGATGAATTACTCGAAGTATCAATTTGTACCCATTAATGTACGTCTAGAAATTAAAAGCATTCAACAGAATACAATGTTACTGTTAGAAAATGCACATACCTTAACGTCAATATCCAAAAATCCTCCTTCAGCAACTTCAAAAGTTAACCCTAATTTTGTTCCTGTCGTCACTTTATCGAAAAAGCATTCTTCGGCATGTGCATCAATGGTAATAAAATATGCAGAAGAATTTATTACACAAGTCCAAAGAATAAAAAAACAGGTAATAAGCCTAAATTTTAACCCAGTATCCATGTTAAGCTTACAAAGTTACAATTAATGAACAACACAAAATGTCATTAGACATAAGCAGTATCTGCTGAAATTACGTATCCGTTGGTGCCACGTGTGACACAATTCTGCGCATGTCTAACAATCGTTCGTTACTCAACGCTAAAACTTTTGGTATTTTTAAATTTTCCTATGCTGACTGAAAGATGGAATCAATATAAAAAAAAGGAAGATAGCAAACAACTCCAGAGATTTTTTTTAAATAAGCTGGTAAGTCTACAGGCTTTTAATGCTAAAAATCGGGTTTCGATACTCGTGGTGGGCACGGCACAAATAGCCTATTATGTACCTTTGTGTTTAATAAACAAACAAATAATAATATACAAAAGAAGAAAACCATTATAGTTTTGCAAAATGTTATACCTCACGTGAGTTTAGAATATATATATATATATATACCACTAAATTGTAAGCAAAAAAAAAACATTATGATTCAAATATGAATATTCAATCAGGTTTTTGTGAAACCTCGTGGACTGGCAAGGTAGTTGTGATGATCTGCAGACTGGTAGTTAAGAAACACTGACTTAAAGGATTTTTCAGTTAAGGAGTAGGATGGTTATGATATTGTACATAACTGCTATGGCCTCATATGGAGCAGTTAAGTTCTGGGTCTTTTGTTTGTTTTTTTCAACAAAAATATTTTGGTTTAAAAAGAACTTGGAGATAAGTAACCAAATGATTCCTAGTTTGAAAGATTTAATCTACGAAGTAAGATTAAAACATTTGAAATTATTTTCTTTGATGTATAGGAGAACTAGAGGTGAGCTAATTAAAATGTTTAAAATTGTTAGGAGCTTAGATAAACTGCCTACAAAAGGTCTGTTCAATTGGTGTAAGAAAAGTGGAGGTGAAATCTTGAATATCAGAAAATAAGTATAACCATAAACCAAATCCAAGGCTGTTTATTAGAAGAAGAAAAAATTCCCTCATAGAGTTATTCATTTGTGGAATTGTTTACCTGATTGTGATGTGTATACTGGCAGTTTGAATTCATTTAAAATTATGCTAGATACTTCTAAAATATGAAGTTATATCTCTGTTGAATGACTTTGGTGGGCCAAATGGACCTCTATCATTGCTGATTTTTATTTGTGACGCACATGTACTAATAAAATGTGTGTGTGTATTTAAGGGCTTCAGTGAAATGTTGCCCGTCTGTAAATCTGTTTATTGACGATAAAATATTTTATTTTTAGTTGCATACATTCCATGCCACGTGTAACTTGGCTTTATAATATTCCAGGATAAGCTTTCTGAAGTACTTTAAATTTTTCGCTAGTCATATTTCATTCATTTCTACAGTTTTCTTGATTAAGAATAATAAACAGTACTAACAGTGTACTGCTTTTGGTATAATGCCAGTTTCACTTAAATTAAAAGGGAATACAAATTTTTAACATTACCTGCTTAAAGTCCATGACAGTTGAAGAATGCTGCTCTTAATAGAACCTAGAGTCAACAGAATCTTTTCATTGCTTTGAAACATTCAGCCAAAAGATACAAGGCTTTTATCTATCATCCCAACCAAATCTTCATCATAACACTGATATATCTTCTACACAGAAAGCAAGATCTTATGTTTCCTTACCATTATATGTATCATTATGTTTAACAGGTTAGAACATTCAGTAAGATGGCATTTTTCAAAGAATAAGCCTAACCCAGCAAATATATATATCTTAATGCTTTTCAGTAGTCCACAGAATTTAAATAATAAATGTCCCAAAACATTTCCCTGTGAGGCTTCACTCATCTACAGCTACAGAAGAATTTGTCAACTTGCAAGAGATGACAACATCATATAAACTTCAAACTATATTTTTTACATTTGTCTTGAGTGTTTTCACCAATAAAATTTTTTAAAGTTTCTATCTGTTTGTTAATTGGATTAGGCAATCAGCATTATGGAATATTACTAATTAAGTGTTAATTAATTGGCACAATTATGCATTTTACTTTGTATCATTAATCATGAGAACATAATATTTAAAATGCACTATATTTAGTGCTGATGGGGCTTGTTATAATGTTGGTTGATTTAATTATATGATCAATGCCTGAACAAGTATTATTGGTACAAACTAGATTATGGTGGTAAGATGTAATTTTTGTTCTTATCAGAATTATTTGTTAATATTATTTATTTTACTTGATTTAAATTTACTGTCGTATATAAAAGGTAAGATACATGTTGTGTCCAGTGTTGTTTGAGCTGTGGTGTATTTTTTTATATTAAAGTAATGGCTTGATAAAAGAAAAATAAATCCTTTTTATTTTATAACTATAAATTATGTCTAACATTACCATAGATGAAAGTAAGGCTAGAAAAGATAATGTTGAATGTAATAGTACTTTAGTCATAAAATTATAAGCAAAGAGACATTCTTCCCAGTATTATTACATATACAGTAGTTTAAAGCACCATTTATCTAAAAGTGTTGCCAGTTTCAAATAAAATAACAGTAAGGTAAGGGCTTAATAATATATTTTCAGGCTTTTTGTGGCACTATCAAGCACTTCAATTTATCTTTTTGAGACTTTTTGCACAAAACATATCATAGAAGCTACTACTCAACAATAATTTACTTTTTTTTGTATTGTTTGTTTATAATCTTTGACAGATAATTGAATTATTGTTTAATTCTTACAGATCACTGGACCAGATGGGAAGGTGATCTATCAAGGAGAGCGAGAGAGCAATGGAAAATACACATTTGCAGCTCACATGGATGGAGTTTACACATACTGCTTTAGTAATGCCATGTCTACCATGACTCCTAAGGTGGTGATGTTTTCAATGGATGTGGGAGATGCACCAAAAGGTCAAAAAGATCAGGATACTGATGGTAAAATCAAACCTTTTCTTTCTTGTTGTAGTAGATAGATTATAAAAAGTTTAGGTTTCTGACAGGGCCTTGAATTTTTTGCCCAAATCAAGAAAGAACTAGAATTACTAAGGACTGGTATTGGCTTCTTAATTCTTTTTCTGATCTACATAAATGTGCTAAGTTGTTCAAGTACCTTACAAAATGCTTAATTCTCAAAACAAAGATGTGGCATTTATCATTCTAGATCTTACATCAGTTGTTAGCTAAAATTCTGCAAAATTGCCATGAAGTAGTAACAAAATTCTATCCTCTTAAGTTATTTTAAACTTAATAGTTAAATGTTTATTAGCGAGTTGAGATTGAAATTTTTTTTTACTAATTTTATTTAAAATGTGTTTTCTGAAAATGAAAATATAATTAAGTAGTCTGTGAAAGATTTATAAAACAAGATTTGTTGTTAGCTCATCACAATAAACTTGAGGAAATGATCAAGGAACTTTCCACATCTATGACGGCTGTGAAACATGAACAGGAATATATGGCTGTTAGAGATCGTATCCATCGAGCAAGTAGGTAGAGGTTTTACTTGTGGCAGAAAAATGAAAATACATTATGCAATAATTAAGTATTTAATACACAGAAAATGTGTATAATAAAACAAATTAAAACTTAAGCTAAAGTGATTAGTCATTTAAACATTTCTTAAGAGACAGTTAAAGTTTTTAGGCACTTGCTAATTGGCTGAATTACACTATTTAAAAAATGGCATTTCCCCACCCAGTTTAGTCATTCTGAGCAAGTACATCCTATAATTAATACATCTCAAGCCAATCAAATCACTTTTTTATTTTTATTTAAATATATTATTGGTGTACACAAGAACATGAAAATGATGGAAAACAGCATAGATTCACACTACTCTTCTGACTTCAAAGAACCTTTTCAAGTAGAAAATCTGACCACCAGTCATGCAAATCAGAACCACAGCTTCAAAGAAAGCCCACATTACTACCCGAGAGTTGGTACTTTCATTAACTAAGGGAAGAGGAGAAACATGAATTATCAGATTTTCACAAAAAAAACTGCATAAATAAAACAGTTGTAATAATAGTCTGAAAATTGAGGGAATGAAATTTTAACATATAATTTGAATTACAAATTCATTCCTTTATATGTTTTAAGATTTTAGAAGTAAAACTCGAGATGCTTCATTTTTGTTAACATTTATGTACCTATACACATATGGTCAGTTACAAAATTGTAGTTGTAGCTGTCTGTGACCTACTTGAAATCTAAATCACTGCAAGATAACTATTTTAAATAATATAAATGGTAAGAAAGTGAGAACATAAAAATTTAAAAACAATACTGTTCATCTTGAAAATTGGTACTAATTATTACCTAAATAATACTAATATTTTACTTCACTGAAATGTTTGCTTAAAATTGAGATAAGTGTTCTTCTAAAGTAGGAAGAAAACTTAAGGTGTAACTATATAGTAGTTACAAAAACAAGTGTATGTTAATGTATAAGCTATTATAGTAACAAATCATTTATTTTCAGTTTTAATCTTGGTGGTTTGTATTTTTATTTAAAAAGGATAAACAATATTTTTTTGTATTTAATGTAAAATCACAAGAAATAAATATTTTTTAACTGGACAGTTTACCATTGAAATCAAACTGTAAAATTGTGACTACCTTCAATTTATTGTATTAAAAATCCATGAAAGTTATAACCACTATAAAAAAATATAATGCATGGCATGATGGTTAAAATTATTTCTTTACCTATTTTATTTTATTTCTCCTTGAGAGATAAGTGGTGTCATTTTCTTAATCAGTTAGATTACTGGTGTTAAAGCTACTTTCTGACGAATCATCTGTGTATTCTGATGAGGAATATGAACCATGTTTTTCTCTCTCATAACCAGAAGCCTCATTATCTTTGTCTGAATCTTGTTCATCAGATAACTCATCATGGTTTTCAGATTCTTTATTTGTCTCATCTTGTTGAAAATCATCATCTTCAGAATCGGACTCAATTATTCGATTTTTGTTACGAGACTTCACAGTTAAGATTGGACTTTCATGGTGAGTGTCTGGACTTGTAGCTGAGAGTACTTTCTTATATTCTGAGGTTGATGAGTGAGGTTTTGTAAAAGAGTTCTGCATTTTTGGTAAACTGTTGGAAATGGCTGTAGTTGTATAGGGACTGGAAGACTTGAAGCTAACCTCTGCAGATGATGCAAGTGCTTTCTGAAAAGGACTGTGTGAAGTAGATGTTAGTGTGGGTGTTGCCAAATTTGAAGCAACACGAAGAGGAGTTATCCTCTTTGTAGGAGACTGCTTGTGAGAACCTAAAGGTCTGAATGGTGAAGGTGATAATTTTTTTCCAGAAGAACCTTTGTGAGACAATACTTTTGAGTGAGTTTCAATATTGGTCACTGATTGGTTGAACTGGCTGGACTGTATATCCTCCATTTCTTTGTTAGGTTGAGAAGATTTAGACAGTTGGCTCTGGTTCAAAAAGGAGTTTCCACTCATCTTAGATTTTTTATTGTCTGAACTTAGAGAGCTGTGGGAAATGTTTTTCCATCCTTCTGGTTCAATTCTGGAAAACACTTTTGTTCGCAGGGAAGTGTCTAAAGATGGCACAACATGGTTATGGTCAGACTTGCATGTTAATACACTATCAGTAGAAAGTCTGAAGGGGTCAGTACGATGTTCAAACTGATCTAAAGCATCTTCAGGAACACTGACAATAGATGGGTGAGCAGAAACATAGTCTTTTTCCTGTTCCTCGTTATCACTATCTGCCACAAAGAACTCCTGACTGATGTTCATGGTGGATTCTTGTTTTGATGTATCTTTACTTGTGTCACTTTCAGGGACATAAATATCACTTTTCCTGTAATAAAAAAAATTGGGCAACAAATACAAGATATTAAATATCAATAAACAACCATCAGCTGTATTTATAAGTCTCACAATGAGAGAATGTGGTACTTAGAAATCAAGTCTATGCTAAGTGAATCTTGTTTTGCAATGTAAAAGTGGTAGCAGGAGGTAATATTACATATTTGCATTTGTTTTACCCTTTATAAATATTTCATCTCGTACATTTCTACATCTCAAACTAGAACTTGTTTTTCATTTAAAAAGCAGATTTCACTATTGCAATTAATAACATAGAAGTTTTATTTCTAACAAATGGAGTGTTGTTGTGAGTGAAAAAACTACATGAAAGTTAAACTTTATTTTTACGTTTCTTTTGCTGGCAGCGTGTTTGCTACACCACTTCAGTAAACAGTTAATACACAGGTTCTGTTATGATTACAAAAAAAAAAACTTAAAAAACTACCATACCTAGATATTATGTGGCCTAATTTGTCTGTTGTTTCATTGAAAACTTCTTCTTCAGACAAATCTCTCTCAGCCTGAAACAACAGAAAGAGACATTGAAGATTGAAAGCTGGAAAGTATACTCTCTGCATTGTTAAAGAAATAAAATATATAATTTGTAGGTGGTTAAGCCAACATTTTTGTCAACTATTAAATATATTTTCAACAACATTTTTCTCAGTCAAATATGTTATTAACACAACCAATACGAGCTGGCTTTTACAAGGTGATCTGTCTTCACTGTGTGTTAGAGGAATAGTATCTTTGTAAAATACAGTCACATTTCAGTTATAATACATTACTACTATTTACAAATAAGTTCTTAAATTTATTTTACTTAAAACATAGAACAACAAATAAAGTATAGCAAACAAGTATATCTTCTAGTTATGAACTTTGTACTCGTTTGCTGCAGGTTGCTAAGCCTTATCAAGTTTCACACAAGGAGGATGTGAAACAATTTTTTGTTTATTTGATATATACATTTTGAAACAACAAAAATCAAATTACTACTATTAATACCATAGAATTCCACAATAATTTATCAAGCTTAATAACTAGGCTGTACTTGGGTCTAAAAATATATATGAAATTTCAA